CCTGTTAGGTCTCTGTTTCTTCTCCTCCATGCTGTCACAGATGCTACCAGTGGACGGTAGGGGCGGGGCTCAGTCTAGTGATCTATATTTTCAAGTCTATGGGCCACCATAACGCTCACGTGGTTCTTGGTGGAAATGAATTTGACACTGTTTTAGAGAAAGATTGTTATTTCATTAAAACAGATGCTGGCAGCACTAAATAATATAGTTACAAAGACAAACCTTTTCACAGCCTCTCGAAAGTCTTCAGTCATAAAAAGAACCTGCAGCACACWGTTCAGATAACACGTCAGACCAGGACTCCTCAGGCCATGATAATCTGACAACAGAAACAGATATTTCTCACATACTCAATATAACCTGTGTGTTTGGAAATGGTTTCATTTAACTCGACAGTCACCTACCTGAGATGGATAAGTTCTCAAGTTTCCTGGTGAATAACTTTAAAAGGTTCTTACTGCTGGTTTCCATGCAAAACTTCTGTCATTTTTTTWATTTGAATAATATTTATATACATGAATTCACCCTGTAGAAACACAACAGATGGAGCAGGTGTTAATATAAATATATAAAAGAAATCCCAACTTAGGAAAAAAACATTGAAAAAATTACCAACAGAATTGTCTCAAAAGACTAATGTCCATTAGATGTGACAATCAACTTGATTTAATTTAATCAGTTCATGAGCTTGAAATGATCACTGAGAGTTTCATTAAAGTCTGCCCACTGGTTCAGGAGATATTTTGCTAACAACCACTCTCTGATTGAAGAGCTCGATTCTTCTCCAGCAGCAGCACCTCCAGGGGTTTGGAAGAGTCCTGGTGAGACGGACAGGTGGAAAAGATGATGTTTTCTTTTTTCATTTGTGTGTGGCATTCTGCATATGTGTTGTGACTCAGTCTCAGCTACTACCACACCAAATTTGAGCTCAATATTTATGAAGCTAACTAAGATACAAGCCAAGAGTCTTTAGGCTAAGCTAAAGTTGTGTATGCTAAGTTCAGTTTGCTGTGGCGGCCATCTTGGTTTAATAGGTTGTAGAGGTGCATTCGCTAATTGCTATTTGAGTCATTAAAATGTGTCAATTCTT